AGGATGGGGAGAGTGTGTGACAGGGATCATGTGTATGTGTGACAGAGAGAGACAGAAGCAGTGTGTGTCTTGGGGAAGTGAGTGAGAGATTGTGTGGGGTGGGGGGAGAGTGTGTGTTTGGGGAGAGTGTGTTGGCATCTGTCAGTCTAAGTTCAGACAGCAGCCTGAGCAACCAATCCTGCGGGTGGGGGATACCTCCCCCCCACATCAGCCCCTGGCTCTGCACAGCACAGCAATCTTCCTCCCCTCCCGTCCCCACAGAAGCAGCTTGCTCTGCCTGCCTGCCAATTCCACATTAATGGTTCTGTGATTCCCTCCGAGTTCTCCCACAGCCTCCTCAGCTGCCAGGAGCAGCATCTTCAGCAGCTCCGTGAGCTCTCCATGCTATGGAATGTCAAAGCTTGCACATGCCTGCAGGGCAGCCGAGTTCAAAACAGTGAGCAGAGCGGTCACGGTGGGCATTGTGGGATACTGGGGGAGGCCAGTTATGGCGACATAATGAATGGTAGCATCTACACTGACGCTTTGTCATTTTTACTTTGCTCCAAAAAGCTCCATGCCTCTCGTCGAGGTGTTTATATTTTGTCAGCAAAACGACAGAGATTTGCCGCCAAAAGTAGCTTTGTGGGGTGGACACACCTGCGCTGTTTTGTTGGCAAAAGCTGCCTTTTGCCGACAAAGCCGTATAGTGTAGACAAGGCTTAGAGAGAGAGCAGCTCGTTCCCATTCTGCTTGCCACAGTGTGACAGTGTCCGCCGTGGACCTAGTCAGTAGCATAGTTCAGATTCGTGTTCTGCTGATGCGTCAGAGGCAAGGCACTTCCCATCAATGGCTCCAGAAGTGGGGGAGCCAGAGGACCATGCCCCCCACTTTTTAACATTGATGTGTTTTTGGAGGACAGAGGGTGGTGTTGCCCACCAAACTGCAAGCCTCGGGGAGGTACAGAGTGCATAGGTGGGAGCTGCGCTATGTGGTGGGGGGAGCATGTGGTAACATGTTATTCCTTGGGAAATTAGGATATAAAATATTAGTCTCGCTACAGAAATCATTTTCCAGCTATTGTGGAGTAACTTTTCTTTTATAATGGTGTCTTATGGGTGCAGCATAATATTGGATTGAACCTATGTACTTAGGCCCTGTCTATACAGGGTTGTTTTTGCACTGCTCAGTGTGTTTGACTTTAGAGGTTTTTGCTTGTACAATTAGATTGATGTAGTTGGACTGGTGGAAATTTTCCTAATCTAGATAAGCCCAGAATGTCAAGTTCTGAATTGATTTGAAGTTGGTTACCAGTTAATGCCAATGTCATATATAAAGCTTTCCTCAATAGATCACAAAGTGCTCCACCATCTTTAAAGTATTTATTCTCAAAAGACCCTTGTGAGGTAGGTGTTGTGATTTTCTCTGAGACTCTTTCCTCTCTTCTTCCCTACAAACCAGTTCAACTCCAGGCTTTGTCATTCAGTTATCTTTATTTGGCATACAGCAACACTTCACTGAGCTGATGAAACTCATATGTGAGGTGGTGGTGGATGTAGTGTGACAGTCTGTACCCCCATTTGTACTCCTTTTATTGGACCATGATACATTTCAGACAAAGCATGCCTTATGAGGTATCATTCAAAAACTTATAATTTCCTGATCATCATTGTCCTTGTAAAATATGTGTGGCAGCATTGTATGTAAAGTTTTAAGATTCTATTGTGTTATGTTAGTAAGAGCAGCCACAAACCACTTCTTCAGAGACAAAAGCCAAACTGATGCCTCAGCCAGGTGTCAACAAGATCAAATGGACAATCACCTGGTTAAGTGGCCATTCTTTGGCAGGAAAGAAGGAGTGAGTGAAAATCTATATTTTGACAAAGGACGAGCTTGAGACTGTGTCTTCTGGACCTCAGCTGGAGATGGAGAGGGAACTATAAAGGGGGGAATAGACACCCCAAAATATTCCTCTCTTTCTCTCTGTTCACAGCATCAACAACATCTGAAGGACAAGGAAAGTGACACTGGATTGGGGCAGGGGTCCAGTCTGAAAAGGAATCCAGCTAGTAAGACTGCTAAAGTATGTAGTGAGAGAGACCTTTGCTTTGAATTAATTTAGCTTATTAAGTTTTTCTTTTTATTTCTTTGTAACCAATTCTGACTTTTATGCCTCATTATTTGTAATCACTTAAAATCTATTTTTCTGTAGTTAATAAACTTGTTCTTTTGTTTTACCTAAACCAGTGTGTTTGCACTGAAGTGTTTGGGGAAACTCCATTTGGGATAACAGGGTCACTTACAAGCTTAAACTAGTGTAAATGGTGGATTCTTTGTAACGCGAAGTCTTTAAATTATTATTTGAGAACTTCAGTAACTCAGCCAGAGGTTATGTGTCCACTGTCTAGTACAGGAGTGGGTGGGTAAGGTTCTGTGGCCTGCAATGTGAAGGAGATCAGACTAGTTGATCATGATGGTTCCTTCTGACCTTAAAGTCTGAGTCTCTGTCCACTTTGTCAAACTGTTTGGCATTTAGCATTTGCCACATAGTTCTGAGTTTGAGTTCCCTTTTATTGGTAGCCTGATATTTGTTCAGAGCCCACTAGGCTAGCATTAATTCAAGTCCAGAACAAAGATCAGCTTACAGTGAGATTTTTTTTCTTTTATCAGCACAATGATAACTTCTGTTAATTTTCCATACTGAGCTGATTGACATTTCTAGTTGTACTGTAAAGTGTTTGACCATTTTGTTTTTACTTTTATCGCTGCTAAACCTGTTTTACTTTTTTTCTTTTTCCTTTTTGTATATAATGGCTACTGCCATCTCTATACTATATATATATATATTTATATTTTGCTGACATGCAGTTTTTTTTAAAGTTTAGATGCCGGGTGCTAGAGAGGCTACTTGTACCCTTCTGCAGACTCAGCTTCTCCTACCAGCCACTAGGAAGTAGCACAGGATTGTGGGAAATGCCAACCAGACAGCTGGTCTGCAGGGAGCCTCATAACCTGGAGGGGGTGACGGTACTGCCCTAGTCAGAGGGCTGAGTCACGAAGTCACACAGAGCACCCCAAGTCATGAAGAGATAGAGTGAGATGAGTCACAGTGTGAGTACCCGATGGAAGGGGGCATTTGGTCCCAGAAGTGGGACCAAGGTCCCTCTAGCCTCGGGGACAACAGGGGTCATTTGACCCTCATACCCTGAGCTGAAGGGATAGAGGTAGGGTAGCTCCCAGGACTCACCTTTGAGCCTGGCTGTATCTCTTTCGATAGCTGAACTGGGCCAGGGGTGCTCTTCTCTTCTTGCCTCCCACAGTTCTCTGCTGGGCTGCTGTTGGTGGCTCCTACAGTTAATCCCACACTGAAGTGCATTGGGCTGTTCAAACCTCTCAGAGCCATTGTTTCAGGCTGGCTGCAGACTTGGGCAGACGTCTCTGAATTGGTTCCACCTGAGTCATATTTTTAAGCTTCGCTTTACAGCCCCCTGTGACAGACACCTCAGGTTTCATTACACACTGGAAGTACCAGTGTAATCTAATGATTCCAGGATCTGGGGCCCTTGACCCAGGCCTGTAGTGCTTATGGCTAGTTAATCCCCAGCCCTGGATCAGTGCTCAGGTAACTCTGGCCTGAGCCTTGGCACCTGGTAGGGAGACAGCTATGATTGGTGCTGCTTCTCGGCTGGCAGAGGGTTGTGGCTGATTCCTGCCATCAGTTGGGTGCCCAGCTCTGCCTGCTCCATGCCTGGTGGCTGAAGGGGGTCTGGCTGCTGCTTCCTGGTGATGCTCCTAGGGCCATCTGCCCAGGGAGTGAAGACTGGAGCTCAGCCCAGGGCCTCTCTAGTCCTGGCTCCAAGTCTCTGGCCAGGAGTGGGCTGAAGGACTATGATCTAGACTACAGCTGTATGGTTACAGTCCTCCCGTCTGCCTCGCTATGGTCCAAGTCCTGCATGTTTCACCCTATGGTTCAGCTCTTACTACGTGCCCTGCACTGTATTTGGGTAATGCCTGCACAGCCATGGAAGTGATTGGGAGGGAGTCTTATACCCCTATACATACCCTGCGGGAGGGCAGGGAAAGATGAGGGACAACTTTTGGTTCAGAAGATGATACCGTAGCCCAAGAACACAGGACAAGCCTCGACGTTCCCCTTAGTACACTTATAACAGCACGCTGAGAGCACAATGGTGGTTAAAGCATTTTATTCATTGAGACCCTTCCAGACAAAAGGCGTCTTGATTCAGTAGAGATCAGTGGCACGTCTCAAAGAGCCGACCTTGCCACTCATAGAGCCCCACTCGCTGAATCTCCGGTACTGCCCTGGCCTCAGCAGGTATTGGCGGCCTCTGTAATTCGGCAATTCGTAAAGGATCCAGTACCCCTCCAGCACAGAACAAGAGAGCATCTCGGGGGAGCGTAGCTGGTCCATGACTTGTGGAGAGTCCTCGGTTAACTCTACCATGTTGCCTCTGTGATCCTCCTTCTCATAGATCTTTATCCTGTAGGTGCCCCTGTGCTGTGACAGAAAATGAGACAGGGTAATAGTGACTGCAGCAGGCTGGCTGCCTGTGATCCTGGGCCCTGAGTCAGCCATGTGCACTGCTCCAGTTCTGCAAAGCACATCCACCCATTTGACTCAGACCT